GGCACTCGCCGCCAAACGGTTGGGTGTTCAGACTACTGTTTTGGACGTCATGGGTTCGAGATTTCCTGGTGTTTCGTTGTTGATCAATCACAATAAGGACGAAACAGCTGCACAATGACCCTAGGCTTTCCAGCATAGATTGGTCTAACGTACAGGACGAAATCTCCGCTAAAAGCCCAAATCTCGTCACGCTACCATCTATATATGTCTAGTGAATTCAACAAACGTCAACCATCTTCAGTGGAAAACCGAACACATGCATAGAGGATCGGTAAGTTAGATGGTTGTAACCTGCTCTATATCTAGACGGTTTGATGTCTTACGGAGATAAAAATTTGATCGATCAGTTGCAGATAAATGATCGAATTAGAAAGCGCATAGTAGCCCGGATTGGAAGCATCATTTGAAGACTATCGTGTGCTGCCTAGATAAGTTTCAAGGCCAATTAGTCATTTCTTAATTTGTTTCTAGATAACCCCGAAAGCTTTTTGGAACTCCACGTAAATCAAAGGTAGTTCAATAACTTTTTATTTGTGTCAAGATTTACGCTACCCGCAAGAGCAGGTGGAAGACTTACAAACGATATCTCTCAATTTAGTTGACTAGATTATAAGATGGTGATGATGATGATTAGGACTAAGTGATTAATTTAGATGATGTGATGTTTCTGGTAAATTTGTCCCGATTGTGAACGATTTATTATACTCATCATTCCATGTTTGGCTGTTACGTGCACTTTTCTAACACAGAAGTTTATGTTCCGTTGAACCGCATGTTTGATGTTTGGGTCAGCTGGCCGTGCCGTCACAGAACTGGATCCAAATACCCGTATCATGGAACAAGCACACAATAGCATAAATTCCTTTTTGGAGAGATGTGTGTTGACACATCACATATGGAACTGACATCACTTCTTCGACTGTAGCAGTTCAGATTTCTTCGTTTTTAAGGAGGTATATGGGACAGCCTGAGTTGCTATCATGACGACTCGTAAGTAACGTATGTCTGCCTGCTAGCTATCGGAAACCTAGACCACGGTGAATGGCAAAATGAATTGACTAGCCCGACTGTAAACATAACGTCTGGATTAATCTGAAGAATCTCAACGCCATAATGAACTTTTATTCATGTGGAAACAGGTTAATGAAACGAGATTGGTTTTAGTCTTAGCAACTCAACGAATGGAGAACCTCGATATTTTTCGGAATTCAAGTAGGGGGACCTAGTGAAAATAAAGGTGACCGCAATGGATATATTGGATAAACCATCCGACTTTTCGATTACCTAGGGTGGTCTTTATCAAGGAATAAATGACTGATATTAAAATGCTGCCAATTCGGTTATGCGGAGACTGGTCAATTTAATCTCACGTGTGCTGCGATTAATGGCAACATCACGTGTCCTGCTGCTTGCGCGCGTGTGTTAGGATATACATGCCTCAGATCCCACCGTGAGAGTGAATTATCGTCACGGGCGGCTCTGGCGCTTGGGTCATCCTTGAAATACAAAATAGGTCGACCAAGGAAACCTGGACACTACAGTTGACACAAAATGAAGAGGGACCTCCAAAACAGCACTGTCCTTTTGATTTCGGTCTACACGAACCCGGGTGTGCGGTCAGTCATAAATGCAACTAATGGAGACAGTGCGTAACTTCGAGCTGAGGTGACTCATGCGTGTTAATGCATATCTGAAACATAGTACTATTGAAAGTATGGAGTGAGCCAACCAAGTGAAGCAACGGTACCAGTCTTCTGGGCTTGAATTGAGCAGAAGACTAATATATGTACACTATTTGTTATACATGGGTGTTGTATACCTGCACTCCAGATTTCACATTGACGGTGCAACACTGATTCTCATAAACGCCGCTAAATGTCTTTTACAGTCGGAGTCAACTGCTGCGTGGGAGAAAGCCGTTATTTGTTAGCATGTGAGAAAAAACTGTAACTGCTTCCAAAAGTACCGGAGTGGGAGCAGAAGAGAGAGACCTGCTCATGAGCCTAAGAAGGGGTTCGACTTTAGTTGGTGCGACAGGAAGCCTGCTGTTTTCCGTGAATGCGAGGAGCGAAAAAGAGTGGGTAGCTTGGATAAGATCAAGAGAATAAAACTGCAAGCGATAGCGTTGGCCATTAATTCTGCTCTTAAGTGTACCTGGTGTGTTGGCACACATTGAATTCGCGTTTCGGCCCCAGATTTACATCGGATGGAGCGATAAAAGAATTAGTGAAAATTGTTTCTTCAGATTCCAGACATGATGTTGCTGAACGTTTCTTCGAAAGAGAACAGCAATGTCTTCTTAAATGAGACACAGGACTATGTGATGGCATGCGATACAGGAGCCATTGTAGTTGATTCAGAAATGCGACTTATAGCAGCGTTCGAACTAGCTTTAAGGACTGGTCCTTGAGAAAAGCTAACAGCAAGCGCATGACATTTAGCTGCAACATACATGATAACATAAAGATTTTCTTTTGCTTACAGCTAATGCTTTATACTACGCACTGTTTTCAAATAGGGTGTTTTATACAGCCACACTAACGTTTTCTGACTTGAGCTTTATTTGATTTCAGTTGCACGGGGTTGTAGTAAGTGGATGGAGCGTATTTATTTTTAAGTGCAAATTATCACCCGCTTATTTTCCGTCTGCTTGCACAAGCTTGAGTTGATTTTCTTGGATTTTGCAAAACCGTTTAGAGACAGTCCCACAGAGTGAGCTCCAGATGTATCATTTTTCTACTTTTTTTCTCATGGGGAGTGCGGTACGTTTTCTTTGTTTGTCCGCGTGGGTAAACGGAAGCAGGTGTCTTCGAAATAGTCCAAGCGAATGGAAAACTAGAGGAGCCAATCAGTATGAGCCGAAATTTTCTATTAGAAATCTATGTACCGATTGCTCTGTCACCTGTTGGGTTAAATTGATCCAAAACATCACAAAAATGACAACTCTATGCATTGTCCACGAAGCCATTTGCAAAGTGCTTGGAGTGACAAGGACGCAGACAGCCTTTAGTCAGGTCCTCAGGTGAAATAGCCTGACGTATATTCATTCAAATCCCTATAGGAAAGTGCAGTTCACTTTCATGTGCACACCGATGATGAATAGCCCTTGTGCACTCTTAGAAAACAAGGTCGAAATAGCCCAGTGATTATAGTGTGAACTTACTAACCAGAAGGTCCACGGTTCGAACCCAACATCAGCATCCCGACTACCTAATGAGCTTCGAACCTGGCGGAACAAGTGATGAGATATACGTCGATTTTGAACAATCATCTCAGGCTGCTTATATCCGGAATTTATGCAAACGTTTCCATCTGATGATTCATCACCAAGTGTCCGCCATAACAAAACGGTAATTACAATTGCTAATACCGTGAAGAATTGACCCAACGTTGTTGGCTGGAGAGTAAACCCTGATTTCTCCTTGCCTGGACTAACCAAATCTATCTCTTAATGAACGTGTCTTGTGTGTTGCACTCTTCTCTACTGCTCACAAAAACTGGAGGTCCTCATGGCCCCAGGAAATTCTTTTTTGATACATACACAATGAGCCTTAGAAATTAAATCTCTATGCGTGTATGGATGCGGGATCTGATCGTTGATATAGGAGGACATCTGTATACCATAGAACTATCGTCATGAAGGCATAATTATTTTGGGAACGAAGTAGATCCACTGAGTTTCCAGTTGGCTAATTAAAGAAACCTGTTTCAGTACATCACAATGACGATGCGAATCCAGCGATATCACCCGCGGTACTCAGAGGAGCTGCCGTCCACGGCATTCACGCTTTCGGTTCTTTTGGTAGACGTTAGATGGAGAAACGTAAGTGTTTCGCCAAACGGACGACAACAGTCTGTGAAAGGATTGGTTATAAATACTGGCCTGTGGGTCGGTAATGGTACGTGGTATTGCCTACATTATGGGGAACAGCCGCTTAGCTGCCCTCACCTCGTTCGACAGTGAAGATTCTGCAATAAAGCATGCAAAAAAATTTTCGGACTAACCGATCGATCCTTGACTGGTTTCAAATAGGACCAAAATTGTCAATACGTTAATTAGCTCGCAACCGTTTATCAGCGTAGTGTGCCATGACGGTCCGTTTTCAAAATGGAAATCCGATGATAGCTTACTTACCACGCACTACCCTTTGTAAGTGTATTCTTTGAAACTGATGTTCGTGGTGAAATTATCGGATATGATTTCGCCTCGGGGGAATTCGCATTGCGCATTATGCCTCGTGTGTGAAGCCATTAATAATGCACTTGACTGCGGATATATCCGCAGCTAACCCAAAGCGGTATCACGCCAATTAATTCCAAAAAATTAGTCTATTACACACACTCGCAACAGGATCTAGAGGATGTCTCGAACTGTAAAATCTGCTGAGGAATAGGAAATAACGGACCCTTCGTTTCTAAAGACCTCACTGTGCAGGCCAATCTAAAGAACTCAATATTACCTTGAATTCCATCCAAGTTGTGAATTCGTTTTCGCAGGATTCGCTGATACCGACTACCTAATGAGCTTCGAACGTGGCGGAACAAGTGATGAGATATACGTCGATTTTGAACAATCATCTCAGGCTGCACATGTTTCCATCTGATGATTCATCACCAAGTGTCCGCCATAACAAAACGGTAATTGCAATTGTTAATACCGTGAAGAATTGACCCAACGTTGTTGGCTGGAGAGTAAACCCTGATTTCTCCTTGCCTGGACTAACCAAATCTATCTTACCAAGATAGTTGCCCAATAGACGCTCAATAAAATGTGCTTAGGTAGATGACCTGCCACAATATCTTGACAAGTTGGATCATCGGGACTCGGAAAACCTAACTTGCGTGCTGTGAGTGTATAACAGCATCCCATATTCTATAGAGGAAAATATCGGTAGCTCAGACAGTGTAGCAAACGACCAACATCCCATCTGACGACCTTTTCAACGTGAACTAATCTTGTCTGACCCAACTGAAATTGCTTATGACGCCACTAGACTCACTCAAAATAGCAACAACTTCATCATCTTGGATCACTTCCAACGATCCTGAGATGACAAAACACAATTGGTCGATGCTTTCACCTTGATGAAAGATCAGATCTCCAGGCGCAGTGTGTTGAGCCGTGAATGAAACAGCCAGAGCTCGTAGGCAACTTTCGCTGGCTAGACGGAACGCGGGATGTTCACTAAATACAGCTCGATACAGGTGTATGCACAGGTCAGCCTTCATGTCTTTTGGACAATGGTTCAAAACCTGCAGCAAGAAAGGAAAAGAGATATGGTTCACCTCAAGTTATCTAATCCACTCGACAACAAAACTGCGAATATCCCAGAAATCAACATTGTCAAAAATCAATCTGGAATCCTACGAAAAATCATGTCTTTTTGAAGCGTGTCCACTAAACAATCGACAGAAAAAACTTAGAATTTCTGGTTATCCAAAGTGTGTTAGAGGCCTTAGTATCCAGAGATCTGTATGTATGAGATAATATTTTTCGCAGTCCACTCATTTGCACATCCATTTGGTTTAAACGGGAGACCCAGCTGAATTCCAGCTGAAACTCTTGTTTGTGATATTCACCGACTGCTTTTGCTGCAACACGTTCTTAAAGTATGGGTTCACACAGAACATAAGACTGGCGGGAACGCGAGAATTGCGTCTACTCGGTGAGTCCCAAAATTGGCAAAACTGGTCGTCGGATGTCGAAGAGTCTTCAGCGATAATTTGAATAATGTTCCTCCAAATGTTAGGCTGTCTTGCAAATAATTCTAGACCAGAATTTCTTTGTGAATCTTCATTTGAAGAGCAGACCCAGTGAAGGCCGCTTGACATTCTCATATTGTGTTACTCTGACCCCAAAAACAACAACTGCGAAGTGAGTTCAGTCGACCCTCCAATAACGGAAAGTGATGACCACGAAGACAACACGCCTGGGCGTTCCACGTTTTAGAACATGATATGTACTATACTCATAGAGTTTTTTTTAAAAAAGAACTTCAATAGGTTACGAGATTGGAAGAAGCTGCTATTGAGTAGGTGCTGAAACTCTTGTGATATTCACCGACTGCTTTTGCTGCAACACGTTCTTAAAGTATGGGTTCACACAGAACATAAGACTGGCGGGAACGCGAGAATTGCGTCTACTCGGTGAGTCCCAAAATTGGCAAAACTGGTCGTCGGATGTCGAAGAGTCTTCAGCGATAATTTGAATAATGTTCCTCCAAATGTTAGGCTGTCTTGCAAATAATTCTAGACCAGAATTTCTTTGTGAATCTTCATTTGAAGAGCAGACCCAGTGAAGGCCGCTTGACATTCTCATATTGTGTTACTCTGACCCCAAAAACAACAACTGCGAAGTGAGTTCAGTCGACCCTCCAATAACGGAAAGTGATGACCACGAAGACAACACGCCTGGGCGTTCCACGTTTTAGAACATGATATGTACTATACTCATAAAGTTTTTTTAAAAAGAACTTCAATAGGTTACGAGATTGGAAGAAGCTGCTATTGAGTAGGTGATCAGCGAGGAATCCTTGGCTCTGAAGTCCACATTTCAGGGAAGCTGGACCATCAAAGTAATCGTTGGACATAACAACTTATACCTCTTTATATAGCAGCCTCTCCTTGGATAACTTTTCCTGCATTTCTTTGACCCGTAGAAGCTTCCGTATTATATCCCGGCTTGACTTTCAAAACCATTTTTCGTTGACACTATAACACCGGGGACACACCGAGGACACACCGGGCAAGAAATCAATTTTAGTAGTGCAATTATAGTTTTACCTTAAGCAAAAAAAGGTTAGCTGATGAGAAAAGGTACCCAAAGATGCACACGCTATGTCTTAGTAATTCAGGCTGACAACTTTTCAAGTTAGGTTATATTGACTATTTCTGAGTGAAGACAGGTGTATACGAATGGGAAGTATGTTTCATATATATTTTTTTCTGCTTCAGTGAATATTTTTATGCAAACATATAGCAATACATTTGGCTAAGTATGTTAATCTAGATTTTAAAAAATGACGGGAATCCACGAGAACCTCTGGAGTAACTGATGGAAATCTCGTACAGTTTTCTGACGAGGTCAACGAATAGACACAAATTAAGGTACCTGTCTGTTGATTATAGGCTATCCCTTTATTGTTAAAATATGTGAATTTATTGTGACTTCAAAAGTGGTAGTTGTGAGTGTACTTTCTAAAGTTTTCGCTGGTGTTATGCAAGAATTAAACAGGTCCGACTCCTCGCTACCCTTGATAAAGTAGGACAAAATGCGCATCTCACTGAAGTGCACGACACAAACTTTCGGCCACGAGGGTGAGGCAACAGTGTGATTAGCTCCCATCCAGACTGAATATAGCGCCACACATCACTCAGTTACATGATCTGCACCACGCAGTCACTTGACTGGTTCTTCTATTGACGACTTTTCAGATGGAAGCTTCGCTCGTCGGGTGAATTCTACTCTTCCTTTAAGCTACTTATAGATTGCTGGTAGTATGAGGAGATTTGGGGAAAAATTAGTCATAAGTGCAAGCGATCTATGCTGGAAATCAAGTAACACTCCAGAGTTGCTCCGTTACATTGAGCATCATAAACAGTGGACATGACACCACAGGTGGTCTCATCCATGTTCCAAGTATATTTTGTCTAGGGTTGGACAAGTGGAACGGAGGTGGAGTCAGAGTCTGTTTTTCACAGTTGAACACGTTCAGCAGGTAGAACATCAGAGTATGATGTTTCTGCGGTGTCAGCGAAACTAGGGGGACGGCTCGATTACTATTAGCCTTCTTCCCTCTTCGTTTCCCAAGAAAATTTACCGTGAGGTGAATCGGCTTGCACAAAAATCAAATTCTGAAAATAGTACTTACGATGGGTTATTCTTGGTTTCGCAAGTTTCAGTTTGCAATTCTTGCCAAAGTAAACTTGTTGTTGATAACAACCATAGGGCACACGATATGTTTCACTCAGTAGTAATGAACGCTTAATACAGTGAACCATATTGTCCTCTAGAAAAAGGACACAAACCATTCACCACAAATGCGAGTTGTACACCTCTAAATGCAACTGAACATATCCGATCACTCATTTCAAATCGCTGCTTCAATAAGGACCTTTGGACCTTGTCATGCGAGAAGGCTTGTACATTTAAATTTGGCACTCTAGTACGTTCATCCTACGAACCAATCAATCCTTCCAACCCAAGCCACTCTGTGACTTCTTTGTGTGCGGTCCAAACGCACTTCATCACCTAGGTTCAGTCGCAGGCTGTAAAAAGAATAGGCAGCAACTTCTATCATCAGGCGTGAATGTCGTATTTCAAGTGTTTGTTCTGTTGCTATACTGAGCCAAGACTTGTTGTGTATCTGTCTCAGATGGGAAGTCGATTACCACGCAAATTCCAGTGAACTGGTGCTCACAATAAGACGAGACTACAAATAATCGTTGGAGATGGTTAATGACAGATACTTGAACTCCATCCGCTGACATCAGTAGCGAAGCTAGTCTAGGTATGTACAAGTACTCCCAAAAGGAGCAATGAATACGGTTTTCATGTATGGCAAGGAAGATGTATAGATGTGGATCAATTCCACATCTTTAAAATGCCTCTTTGCAACAAGACCCCAAATGGAACAGGTGGCAATAGGCGAGATCGCACAGTAACCCAGGATGGAACAAGTGATCAGAGTATATGAGAGACATAGTTCCCTGTGCTACAAAGTTCGCTGTTTATAAGTTCAGTCTGTCTGGTACAACACGGTTACAAAAGTAGTTTATCCAAACAGTAGGTTACTCCTCGTTCCACTGTTTTCTGAGCTTTCAATATTCACCCCAACCATAAATCCAACGGTCAGATGTAGCCTTGCCTTATCGTGGTAACGTGCAACCCAATTCAATGAGCATATCTAGGCGAACAATCAGTGTGAATGCCTTGCAAAATAGCGTGATTTTGATGGGTGATACCAAGCCACTACTGTCCAACGGTATAAACTGTTCAGCTACAAATCATGTTGCTTTTATATTAACATGAAAGGTATAGTGATAGCCTTTGATCTGTTCATTGAGCTGGCAGTTTGTTTGCAAGGTTGTTTGCCGAATGACAATGCGCTGTGAGAGAAATTGCGCCATGAGCGGAAGTACGTGGTCGTCACGTGTGCATAGATTGCTTAAGCATTTGTTCGTTCAGATCGACCTTGATTTATCATTGATTGTTGAGGTGAGATTACCCATTGGCTTGTTGGGTGGCCTATCTGCTGAATGGTGGATGGCCAGAGGGCTTTAGGGCCTCACCTCTCCGGTGCCATCTACTCTGTGCTGTTCTTTTTTCATGGTCGTGTGAGGAGACTTGGTACTTTTCAATTGAGGGTTCGTCTAGTCAGTCAGGCTGAAAAGCTGAAAACACTGTACATCTGGTTCGTGTTTATTAGGAATCATCAGTAGTGTGTACCTGACGGAACCCAGAGTTTCGAACGCGCGACCTTCTAGCCAGTGGATATCTGGCAGCTCGACCACCAGCGGCTGAACAAGGTCATGGTTAACTCTCACCCAGACAGGATATAGTGTCGCTAATCCTTCGATCAGAGAAACCACATCACGTAGTCATGTATTTAAGTCTTGCTCTTTTGCCTGCATAGCGTGTCCTGTTGTGGTCCACTGTTCTGATGGCAGGATCTGACTCAGTGGAACCACTAAGCGTCCCATGATCTTCACGTCTTCCTGATACAACTTATGTCCAACTTGACCTTCAAACATTGAAATATTAGGTGACGTCGTCTTATAGCTGCGTTGTACTCACTCACCCGTGTAGCGTTTTTCCAGTCTAAGTAATACAATTTAGTTGTAGTTCTTGTAGTTGAGTGCGTCGTCGTCTATATTGTCGAGAAGTTTTGTCATCAGTTTCCTCAATTCAGCGGCTGGTCTGTGGGCAAACCACTGAACCCGTATAAAATGACCTGCTGCAACTTCGAGGCCTAAATGTACAAACAACTGAAAGTAACTAGAATGGGACCAGTACTGTCTGAACTAATCGCTAAATAATTAGTGTAAAACATAGAACCTACTCTATCACCAGTCATCAAACCGATTTCACGCCATCTGGGCACCACCAGTTAACCAACGAGTTCAACTGGAGACCCAATCCGCTGTTCTGGATTGTTCACCAACATAAACCATGTTCACAGACTAACTAATAATGAGCTGTAATCAGCACTGATTACAGTACTGACTGGACAATTAATAATCGTATCTTGCAGTGTTGCATCGGCAACATCGGCGAGGACATCTCTAAGATATCGTATAAATCGACTGGTTCATCTTGTGTGTGGAGTTTCTGGTCCTCCAGGTTGGGGACTGGAACCTGCATTGTGACGTACAATGTACTTGCATTTCCAGCCGAACACCGCTCCCTTGCGGTCAGGGTTTTGAGCCGAAGGCTTTGATGGAGGACTATAATTGCCTTCCTATCTAGATGTGGGCGTCCAGGCATGTACGACCATGAATTGAACATATGCGAATAAAATCATGCCACATCGGCCATCGTATGGTGCCCTTAGCTGGGTGGCCTTGCTTACTGCATACGGCAAGACGGGTAAGCGAAAACAGACTACTACAGACACCTCTCTTCTTTCTCTTTCACATACTCCTCTTCACCCTCTTCCCACTCCATTATTAACCCTCACTTTTTAGCCACAGCAGTTAGGACTGATGGCTCCGTTCGTCCTCCATCGACTTCGCAAACATCATCAGTGAGCCATCCAAGGGACAACATCCTCAGATGTCATACGTCAATGAAGTATCAGTGTTGAACACTGACGTCGTGCTGTCCATGATGATGGTGATGATGACGATGATACGATCAAAAACATTCTGCTTCTTAGTGCGTCCTTGCCTGTGCCTCCACTCATTTATGGTTCCAAGAATAAGCCATGTTGTTCGGTTTTGTTTGAATGTTAGAAATATAACAGGTTTTTATCTTGGTCCATACTGAGTGTAACCATAGAGTACCGTTCGCACATCTCTTTACCGCCACTAGAGGGACAGACTACCGAGTACTTTGCCATTTCGCCTTGATAAAATATTCTAGGATTCCTTTCGGTATTTCTGAACCACAAGCTCTAATTGTAGACTTCAGTGACTAGTCCAGCTTACACGGGATTCTAATTTAAGCAGGCTCCACAGAGAAGACATCACACAATTGATTCATTGCTTGAATTCACTTAAATCCACTTAGAACCGTTCAGAACTCACCGTGTCCGTATCTACACCACGAGTGAGTGACCAACTCGAGGTGACGTAATCAATCACCCTTTCGGCCAATTCTTTCGGTACACTGTGAATTCGTAGAAAATCTTTCACGCTGGCCATGAGTTGTTGCAGCCGCGCACGACTTGCATGCGTCTGTTGTAGAATAGTTGTGACGTTGCCAAATATGGTCGCGTACACGAGTGCTAAGGGGGGAGCAAAATGGTTTGTAGTGAGGAAAAACAGTGCACAATTCACAATGGCTCACTGCTGTACTTCTGAACAAAGCAACAATACAACCAACTGCTAGGTAACTGTCTGTGAATTAGGACTGACTGAATACAGAGCTGTGTATCTTTGTATCAAGCAAATCAGAAAAGACGATGGAACTATTGAGCGTCAATCGATCAGTAAATGTAAGCAGAGTGACGACGAGTCATTCGTGATTTTCGGCTTCGGTCTCTCTTCACATAAATCTTGGGTGCATCATTATTATCACCCTGAATATGAACAGGTGCTTTAAATCCGCGGGAGAATGCATTTGCCTGGATCACTAGCTGAGATATTGCGCACTGCGTAAGCCAATCCAATTTATGATATTGACATTTTAAAGGTAGCGGAAACGTTCGTTCTTCCGTGATATTGTTTGTGGTGTTCTCATTGGTCGTATGACATGTTCAACGTGGAGATTTGGTACGCGTGTTCCAATGTCAGCAAGTTATCTGAGCGACGATTGACAGCCACACAACAGACAATGGGGAATACTTGGAAGAAGTGCGTTTGCAGCAGTTTTCGTTGGTAAAACTGCCGTTCAAGTGATGTATGTTAGAAATCAAAATATATATTCTATTCGATATTTCTGTTCTTCGCCTGCGGTCCGTGGTACTTGGCGTTTAATGTTGTTCATGTGCGTGGACCGAGGCAAGCCTGCACCGGCAAAGCAATGCGTCGGGTGCTGAATGAGTGGTCAGGAAGTGTGCACTCAGAACCTCGACGGCTGCTCCACAGGCATCTAAAGGCTTATTTGGAAGAAGCGATAAAGCTCTGCAGTTGTCTTCTGGTTTCAGCAACGGTGCCACGTAGATTATTCATAGATAGAGATTTACGAAACTGTGCAAAGTGAGCCGATGTGGAGTGACATTACGACGAAGAGGGGTATTGCATGCACTGAGTAACTTCTTGCGATAGATTGTAGGGGGATGGCTACACGCGTTTCAGTGAGGGGGCGCTCACGAGATAAAACCTTGGAACAGACGACCTTGGAAATTCAGCTTTACTTAACTGTGCACCGACGATGTCTCCTCGACTGGGGACGAAGCGTTTGCAAACCAGATGCCAAGCTCGGCGAACAGATCAACTACCATCTGATCAACAAGGTAAATACTCATGTTAAGTTCACTTAGTTCAACAACACAGATGGAGAAAGGCGAGCTATAAGGGCTCAGCTCGCACTCACCGTATACTGTTCTACTTTTCTGAAATATCACTGTAATTGTTCTGACACTGGGTAGAAAATACGGAGAAATTCGGCTTCACACAATACCCGTTAAGTGTCCTGCCAGTGTATGAACTCAGCTGCAGTATAACACTGGGGTGGCATGAGGTCGTAGCGCACAAAGCCCTGGTTTGGAAAACTCAGTTGAAGAATCTGGTGGAAGTGCTTGATATGCATCAAGACCCATAATTTGAAGGTGCAAATTGTCTGAAAAGACAAGCTCGTAATTAAGTAATCATATTCCTGAAGGAACGTTCGAACAACTCCCGTGTGCGTATCATTGGTGAACAGTCTACGAGCATACTTTCGGCTGACGACATGCGGTACCTAGAAGCATAGGTGGGTAAAAAAATCACACCGATAAGAAAACAGTGCGTGCACATTTACACTTGCAATCTTTTATCCGTCCCGGAGCTCATACTCCTTGGGGAAAAATCCACTTTTCAAACATTGCCGTGAGAAAGCAGATCAACTCAGGTGGAATTCGCTGCAACCAATGTACAAGAACTGACCTCATTTTGAGATAAGTATCTGGTGCCAAGTGTTGATGCAAAGCTGTCTGTTTTCCAGGTCAGAGCATGGATGGACATGATATACTCAAGTTTTTTGATTGGGTATTGAACTAACAAGGAAAATACACTTGTATCAGCCCTTTATCGAGCCACTTCTTTACAGAATTCAGTCCCCCATGTTGCTGATCGTTTCATCAATGCACAACTCCGACCATCAGCAGGAAAATGTNTTAGTCTGCTACAAACTGCACAATCACATCACTTCGAATCATAAAATCGTGATTTGTTTTTGAAGGAAATGATCAGGAACCGAAATTCAAGCTATGGACTTGGAAATAATGTACAGAAAAACAGAAAAAAAGAGAAACGTTCCATTTGAAAGCGTGCCCTCAGTTGTTTTCGAGTCAGAGGTAATGATCTCCAACATATACAGCAGGGTTCGGCGTGGAAACGTTTGTAAAAACCAGCAGCGGGATAGAAAGTAAAGAACAGTCAATATTCTTTAAGCATCAGTTAGCGCTAGCACAGTCATATCTCACGCATTGGAGAAGTGTCGGTCTGTGTTGAAATCAAGAACGGACCAACCGAAAAAGACAATAATGGACGGTCATTTCAACAGTAGCGTGGCCGTAGGAAGCAAGAAAGACAGACCACAACTCAACAAAGATTAAGATCGGACCAACCAGAATCCAGGTTATTGTGCAAGGGCTGTTCTTTGTAAACTGTATAAATAAACACACGAAGAGAAGTACTACCCAATCAACAGTGCACTGAAGATGTCTCCTCGAATGGTGACGAAACGTTTGCAAATCAACTGCCAAGCTCGGAGAATAGATCAACAGCCACATGATCAATTACCAACTAATGCACCAGCACTACCAATATTCCAACACATTACACGCATAAGTGTTGTAATTATCCGGGAAGTCCAAAATGATGGGCAAACACAAGTAACTGACTGCGACCTTAAAAAGATCCAGTGCAACAGCAGCTTCAGCAGGTTGAAAAAAACAAATACCTCGATATGAAATGGCCATCTGTTCGTGATCCAAAAAATATCGAAGTAGATGGCACATAGGGCTGGGGTGGTAGTAATTAAATGATCTCATTTTATACCATGATCCCTGTTCACCGAGACTATGCTCATTACTATCACCGTTGCTCGGCGCTCTCGAAGAGCGATTAGGTCAAGCTTGATTAAAGTCGTAGAAGTAGTTGCTCTAAACCCCCTCGAATACGCTGTAGTACAGACGTTGGAATAGTCTTCCGAGTTGCGCTGAAACCTGATTATGACGAGCACATAAAGGTTCATGCGTAATCCAACCGCACTGCAGAATATGTACCGAACTCTCCGGCTGATCAGAATCTCCAAGACAAAAGCCGTCTGATCACCATGACTAAAGCGTTTTTAACTACCTCCATCAGCAAGCTAAACCGGAGCTGGATAACGTGGACAAATAACCAGCGAGACAAAAGTTTTGAAAACGCAACCCGTCGGTTCGTAAGAGACGAGTCGACCGGATCTTGCCAGCAGCGACCATCCGCTCTATTATGCAGACATTCACTCCTTGGTGTTCACACATGTATCTTGGACCGGATTCGAAAGACTGAGCTCCCGAACGACTTCGCCGAATGCAGATTCATTAACCACGTCATGTAGTCCTCGGGTGCAAAGTTCCCTGAGTAGTTTACGTGTGTGAAGGTATTGAGTTGTCTTCCGGTAGACCCAGCCAGTCACAATTAGAGCGCCCGACATAATTATTCAATCCTGTGGCGGTTTTGCGGTGAACCTGACCAAGAAACCGCTAACGTGTGAGTTTCGATAGGGGTAGTTACTTCTGATCTCCATTCGAGCAGTCATATTGGCTGTTGTGAGAGGCTGTAGACACAATTAACCTCGCAAAGATAAGGAGTATCAAAGCATGACACGATCCAGTGGAGTAAATAATTCGTCGGCTCAACTCTTAGCTCATCTGGACTAACGTCCGAGCTATCTATTCTTCACCACAAGAAGGCGGATCAGCGCTAGAAAAGCTATCTCCCTGTTATATCATTCAACCTGTTCCGGTGCGGTGCTGATTGCATGTGTGGGGCTACCGGTGTCGTAGTCCCAACAAAAACAATGCTGAGGTCGAGTAAACGTCTGCTCTGTTGTTAATACTGGTTTTAGCTGATGATGAGAGGCCATTGTAAACAGGTAATGACCGTCTCCGGAGGACAGTGACAATCGCCATATGACTAATGATATTCATGGAACAAATGCCGTAGATAGATAATGGTTGAAGATTAAAGGAGGCAGGAAAATGCGGTGTCGACCTTGAAAATCCAAACCTTAAGAACAAGCTTGGATTGAGTGTTTATGAATTGAAAAATTGTGAAAAATGATTAGTGTGAGTATACAGTACAGTACAGTGAAGTATTTACTAGATCGGTGGTCGTTGTCTGCGGATTGGTTCAATGAGGTTCCTCTCAGTCTAACAAGGATAAATTGGGATACCGAAAGTTGTTCATTATGAGATGATTTTAAACGGTGACCTTTTTACCAGGAGAAGAATCTGGTCACCAGCAATCCCTTTCACTCACCTCCAATAATCATAAACATGATGGACACAATCTTTTCTACCGTCGTATTCGCCGCCACGTTTCCGAACCCAATGCTCGTTATCAGTGAAAGGGTGAAGTACAATGACGTCATGTACAGCATCGACTGGGGTGGCAGTTGGTTATCAACTTCAGCCTTGTCCGTCCAGTTCCGCTCTCCCAGCGTCTCATTCATCAAGTGTAATATCCACCCGTGATAAACGTGACTTTGCAAGTCATGCATTCCAACCATGTACCACACACACGCCAACCAATGAGCCAGGAGGATGAAGCAGAGTATCATGATCAGTAAGATGGTGGCCACGTACTTCAAATACTGATCAAGCTTTCGTAGCACACGCCACAGACGCAGAAGGCGCACAACTTTGAGTGTGTTGAATAGACTGGCAATGGTCTGTGTGATTAAAAGAACGAATGTAGGAATGAGGAATAAGAATACTTTGTCAAAAGAGGAGGTGCTTTCAGAATGGATAGCAGCTGAAGGAGTTCAGGTCAAGTCTTCCAGAACATATTTGCGTTGTTAGGGCCAAACGAACAAGTGACAAAGAGAGGAGTGAGAAAACAAATAGGTTCACGTTAATACGGTAAGCCTGGAAGCCCGGATAGTGTTTTTCTCATTATGTTAAACCAACCTCAAGGCACCACAAACACCGTCCAGTAAAGTGTAGCCGATATTCCTTGTATCTGTTAGAGAAAAAAGAACTTCAAGCGCTTTCATCCACCGGAGTTAGATAAATCTGCGGCATAAGATTTAAGCAAACATGCATACCTAAGAAGTTTTCTTGATTATTTGAAGACAGAGAGTTATTTTTTATACGAATTTCCTCGGATGTCTGTAATGTTGGTAGACAACAGCGTTAGAGCATGTGAATAACAGACCATCGTCTGAGAAATTCCAGCCTGTATCCATTGCTAGTATTGCAAACTTAAAGACAAAGTTGAAGTTTATCCATTCGTCTCTGGTGAATTTGAACGCTTGAAGTGACCTGTACAAGGTAGGGATGATAGGATTCCGTATGGACTGAGCATAGACTCAGTAGCGTCTCTCTCGTCATTCATTTGATAATGAGTCATTTCAGCACAATCGGGCAACTAAAGCTTGTCTTTACTTGAGTACAAACGTAATTTTCAAAAGTCTGCCAAAAGAGTGTAACTCCTGGACACAATTTGTGCCAACAACAATGTGGCACAATTTTTCATTCGCTTCATTTTCATCAGTGGTGTTGGAAATGATGTTAAAAACCTATCTAATTCACAGCGAAATCGATTGAATGAAACCTGTTTGGGGATCGGTTTAGTGCATTTTCACCTGCACGCATCCTCCGTAACCAAGCGTTCGGCAAAACCATAGGGATTTCACATGAACTTCAAAATCTAGGAAGCTTAGAGGTACATAATTTCACTTACTGGCCGGTACGCTTCATCCGTACAAAACTACGTGCTCGATGATTTGGACTGCGAAAAAGTAACACCTGAATAACTTATCTTCTGGGGGGACATTCTGTGAGAACTCGTCAACCCAACTTTGGTCATCACATCGACATCCTGTTTTTAGTATAATCCTGCTAATCTAAACCAACGCTGTAATACCTTTGACTTCCCCGCAGCTTATCACTATGTGCCTTAGCGTACTCACCCGAAACCCCGTAAATAAATGCACTGAGATTACAATACATTGTCACACCAGAAAGGATGACGCAGATCTGAAGAAGCCGCGTGACTGTGGTCTGCATTCCACTTGTTAATAATGCGGGGGCGAGGTGGCGCAAGTGGTTAGAGCGCGAATTTACTGACCGGAAGGTCCATAGTTCGAACTTAACCTCCACCTCTCAACTTCCCCTGCCTAAGATGGGGTAACCTGGCAGTATCCCGGAGCTCATGCTCCCTTTGGGTAGCATGGCAGTTAGGCACTGGATAGGTGGTTTAGCTGAGTGAAGGACAAGAAGGACACTTTCTTCATGCAGGAGACCGGTTACATTGTATGCAATGTCTTCGGCCTTAAAAATCTAGGTATTCTGGAATGTATGCTCACAAGTGTTTTATAGACCAAATTAATTATTTGCCAGGAGGTTATATAGGTGTGCACATATGCCCGCTGATTGTGACGCGGGTGCTCAGTAGGTACAATTATTTAGGACCTCACGCATGCCCCACAACTGTTGTGCAGACTAAACTATTATTTGCCAGGTTATATAGGTGTGCTCAAATGCGCCCTGTTAGTGACGCGGGTGCTCAATAGGTACAATTATTTAGGACCTCACGCATGATTGTGGGGCATCATTTGGTTGCACTGATGAGTTTTCGAACTGTTCGCCACAGTTCACTCACTGACTCACTATTTTGGCATGCCCATTCCCTTTAGCATCAGACAAATGCAGCATTTCGACAAATACACGCTTTTTCAAATCAACTTGGTTTTCACGGGATACTCAACTGAGTCTCTCGTTTGCGATATTCTCCAACTGAGTATGCTTCACAAAGGCTGCCTCATGTTTCATTTGGTACGATGTTCGATGTTATAAAGGAAACGGCCCACAAGTTTACAACCTTGTGAGTCGTCTCAATAATTGTTCGTGTAGGCACATCTATGTATACTAGAATACGTAACATGCTTCCCTTGTGTGCTAGTTAATTAACAGATACCTAATAAAGCCAGAAGACTGGTTTGACGAGATTGATATAAGTTGTATCTGTTATCTGCTGCATGGCTTTTGGAATTAGTTACTGCTTTGTGTTGTCCTTAAGCGGCCTCCGCAAGGCTGCAATAGCAGATCCTGCAATCAGCTCAGTGCATTTTCTCGTCCCCCTTCAGAAACCTGCATGCTCAAAGCATTATGTATCGATTGTTCAGTATCCTGATAACGGGCGATGAGCATAAACAAGCGGACATGAAGCTACCCAGTGCTTACATCCCATTCTCTTGCGACATCTGCCTGAAAGGATCTAGCCCTATGGAATTCGAACATTGAGAACTGGCAAGGGATTTGTGACCTGTTTGAAGTTGACGCTATTCCTCTTAGTCAGCAGGATATAGCAAACCTCAGTAAATCATTCTACCATCACGATATATCTATCTCCATGAAAAGACAGCAGAACGGCACTGAACGGCACTAAGTTCGAGTCTCCGTGTCAAAAGCGAAATCCGTTTGACCATTTTGCCGATCCTAAGACAGGTGCAAACGTGCAAGCATATTAGCGGTGTGTCCTATTTGTACCCGACCTACTGTATACATAAACTCTACACAATAAGTGACATGATATTTGCAAATATAAAACATCGACATCCTCGGTTCAGTGTGCTTTCAACAGTAGCGAAAGTTTGTTGTCCACCACTACGCTGAGGGTGCTTATCGTGAATTTTTCATCACTTTTGCCAAACCAGGTAAACAATAAACAAACAGATGTCATCACTATGGAAAACCTGTTGATATAGAGTCTAGAGAGTTACATTAGTAAAAATCATAACAAGTTATATCCTCTAGGGAAAACATTTTTCACCCCTCAACCCGGAGATTTTCGTGAACTCATATTTCACGACTACCTTTTTGGAATGTAACAGAAGTACTGCATTGTACACTTTTACTAGAAGACGTTAAGTACAATGGAAAAGCGAACGTTTTTATTTTTACCAGAACGCATCTGTTTGACGATTAGTCTTCCATTTGCATGGGCTTCTCCTGTAGCCCATGGGTTGGTAGTTGGAGACTCTGAATCAATCATCAAGTGAATGCAGTACCAGTCCTCAATTTGGGTGTAACCTCAGGGTACATCGGAGCATCTTCTGATGAGCGATCAAGTTGTCATTTGATTACCTAGTGAATTCAGGAGCGTTTTCATACATGCATTCCAACAGTAAGATAGTGGTTCTTTTATCAAAATTTGAACCACGGTCTGAATGAGAGGGCGGGCGGGTAATGATTACGATAAAATGATACGCTTTTAACGAGATACAACAAGAAGACCAGTTCACTACCGTCCTTTGCGTATACTAACCATACTAATCACCACACTATAGGATGAAGACTGTTCAAGTGTGATTGGCGTGTTGAAATCTACCACAAATTTGTTGACTTTTTTCAGCATATTCATTTGAAATTTTAAAGTCTACAATTCCTTGGGCGCATTTGCTCTTGAGGACAACGGGTATTTTTTCATTTTCCACACGCCCAGGCTGTAAAAGTTACTGACTTCATAGGCGGCTATGGATGAAAGATTATCGAGAATTCACCCATCCCTCCAGTAGTGTAAGCTCTCGGCTGAAGTCACCCTCTCCTTAATCACACCTTTAATCCTACCCCAATAAAAACGTTGACATAATGCTTTTGAAATTTTCATTCCGTCCAAGATGCAAGAAATCAACCCGGATTTTCTGTTGAGATTCATCAAAAAGAAAAAGAATTCGCAAATGAAACCATAAAAACTTCACTAAATTTGGATGCAGATTCGAAACAATACTAGGATTAAGGTAAGCACATTGGTTTCTGATTTTTAACAAAAAAAGTTGTACGGTGCTTTTCGACAGCTGAATTTTAGTCCATCCAACTCAAACAATTGAAAATTGAGAAAAATTAAGAATGACACAAAATGGGTGGAAGATGCACCGCTTATGCGTCTTCTCAGACTGCACTCATTAAGGGACGATTGCCGGGTGGTCTAAATTGAATACCCAATGTGAGCACATAACTCATGTACTGGGGTAAAGAATAACAACAAAAACCTTGTTGTTCGATGTGAAATATGTGAACAACAAACATGCAAAACTTGACATAATTTGGCTGTTCATGGGGAGTTGTGCTGACCTTAGCCTCACGTTGCTCCACCCAAAACGGGCCAAAATTTGGTTCTCTCCGTATCAGACCTCGCAAAGACTGATAGAGAGAGAGAGAGACGGAAACCATTGTTTTGTTTTCCGGATGACAATGTTTCACATGTCAAAACATATCCTATGCACAAAATTTTCCTCCCATTACAGTTTTCCCAATGTGGTGATGGAGAAGTTTGTTTTGTTGTGCTTTGCCACGACGAACTTTTTGTCTAAAAATATCCTAGAGATTCATTCTGATAAAAAGCGGACATTGACTTTTGCTCCAATGAATTAATGGGAACTAACATATTTAGTATTGATTACCTATCTACCCAGAGCGCCCGCTTGGAGAGAGAAAAAAGGAAGTCTTTCACAAAAGGCCACGTAGGAATTTTCTAAAATGGGTCTATAAGACAAAACCGAATTTCAAGTGGCCATATTTATTGACAAATGTCTGAAAACCTGGAAGCACGAAGAAAGCTTGATAAAAAACAGGGGAACACTAAAGAACGACTGCTCGGTGGGATTAGTGGCTGTAATGACACATGATGGAAATCCTTAAAAGATGACAACTTTGGTAGCGTTTGAAA